ATATTCATGTATTATAAACATATAATTGGTCTAATATAAACATACACATAATATATTAAATAAATAAATATATACATATAATAAATACATAAAATATTACTATATAAATAATGAACTGCAATAGAAGAGCAAACAGCAATTTATGACTCAAATAGAGAAATTAGCAAGATTAAAAGGCAAGTGCTTTTTTGAATAGGTGCGCTATTATTAGATACACAATGAAAGCGAAATCGTCAGAATCCTTTTAATGTAGTGTTCAATCAGTGAAATGGATTTATCAAACATGTGCCAAGCAAACATAAAAAATTTTAGCATACCATACAAACAGACGGCATCAAGTCAGTATCTAATTTTTTTTATATATTTCCGATACATATTTCTTTCTCTGAAAAAAATCTTTTTTACTTGTAGGATACTGCAGGATATATATATATATATATATATATATATATATATATATATATATATATATATATATATAGTATAAAATAATATGTTATACTTATTCAATAAAAAAAGATAGGTGGGTGGACAAAGATCATAAAAAATGAAAAGGAAAATATTTACAGAGTATAAGTATTAACACTAAGCTGCTCTTTTACATTTATTTATTTTATTTGCACTCTTAATTGCACTAAAAACAAAAATTGTACATTTTAACAATTAGAAAATTTAAGATTTATTGATACCTGTAAGGAATAATAATGTTACAAAGCCATATGATATAAAAATCTTTACTCACAATATTAGTAATTTCATAGTATACATCAAAATATTCAATACACATGTAAGTGAATATACATGGAAAATAATTCGTGCATAAAAATCGCACGGAAAATATTCACAGTCTGTATTGACCTTAATTTTAATTATAATAGCCTAAAATATAATAAATAAATTAGTTAAATAAAAAAAAAAATTGTGTTCTGAGGAATTTTTTAGAATGATGCCCACACTCACCTTATACCATCACTTACACCAAATCACATATACACCGCTACTACTCTCGCCATCGACAGGAAATTCATCCTTACACGCTAGAATTTAAACAGTCGCGTCCAGTGCCGTTTTAGAGGAGTTTTCTCCTGCAAACGTGAATGTTGAATGAAGAGAGCCGATCCCTGTCGAGATTTACCTGCTTGATAAATCTCTTTAATAAAGTATTTGTCATAATTAAGTGTTTAGTCTAGAAATAGTGTATTATCTAGATATTATTTCGTCGAGACAAAACACAATGACGCATCAAAGAAATCGTCGAAAAAATTGTTACGCAAAAATAACATAATAATTATAATATCAGCTAAACATTTGACACCGGAGGGTCAATTTCCGTCGTCATATTATGGCGTTATCAGTGTTTTAGAAGAAAACATTCGTATCTGTATAAACATTTACGATTAGACATTTGGCAATTTACTAATTGCAAATTGTTGTGTATTATTTTAATTTAAAATCTTCACGTGACTCTAAAGTTATGGAATTTCTAGTAGCAATAGTGGTGGCCAATCTTTAAATGTTGGCAGTTCCACACATACTAATGGTAGTGGAATTAAACAAACTAATTCTTATTAAATAATATTTTTTTTTTTATGATATATAGTATGGTACACGTGTTAACAACTTTACTGATGGAAAGTATGCAGCAATACAGTCATGCAAACACATCTGTTTCATTTTAGAAACAGAAGTGGGATAGAGGTATCCAAGCATACGACTTTTATATAAAGTTTCCCCTGCTAAACATTTCCATCACAACACATGTTCGTGATCTGTCTTTGCTTCCATTGCAAAGTCATACCAATTATTCATATGCGTCGCTACGTTGTATATGTTTTAGTCAGAGTTGCCATATGCAATTTCGTATTTTTTCTCAAATTTTAAATATTCACGTACTTGTGTTGGTTTTTTAATAACACCTTGACTAATCACGATGTGATGTTAACGTAGTTTATAAAATACGGCATATATTATGTACTATTTTATCCTCAGGAATGGCAACGCATGAGGGGTATCATGGGCGAAACAGTATATGGTACTGCTCATGTCTATAGGCGACGGTTACCACTTTCCATCAGGTGGGCCGTCAGCTTGTTCTAAGTTGTATAAAAAGACTATATTTTAATTTATATACTATTTTTATTTATTTATACTTTATTGTACTGATAATACACAAAAATATGATAGACGTAAATAAATGTACAAAGGCGAGAGAATCTTAGTACAACATTATGACAATTTTCATACATAAAGAACTAGACTTTTGTTTACAAATAACTAATTATGTATATGCTTTACAAATACCAAAACTATTAAAAATTTACCCCCAAATTTCTCCATATCCGATTTAAAACTGCGAAAAAAATTCTGGATGTAGCAAAACTGCAAATTGTCCAAAAATTCACAAACACAGAAATTGTTACCTAAAATTGTGAAAAAAAGTATCGAATCTGGCAACACAGCTTGCAGTAAATTCGTTCCCATATATATCTGTGCGTCAAACTTCTTCCAGCATCCGGGTATGCGACTGGACTTTATCTAATCGTTATTCTATTCATTGTTTACATTAGTCACAACTTAATTTGTGACGATAAAGCGAAAAGAAGTGATTGTTCCTATACTAAGGTCATGTCTATGTTACAGTCAAAACTCTTAACCGGTCAAAAGTACTACTGACTAGCAAAATCAGTTAAAAGTACGTTTGACTGAACAGGTTGGTCAAAAGTGGTTTTGACTGATAATAATTGGTTATTAGTACTTTTAACTGCAAATTTGCGGTTAAAACTACTTTTGACTGACGCTCTTCATCAAAAGTAGTTTTAACTACAATAAAGTATCAGTCAAAAGCACTATTAACTCGTTACATAAAAAAAAAAGATATTTGTTAAATGTGAAATCGTTTACTACAAAAAATTTGGCATTACAATCAATACAACGAAAACATACTAACCTTAACCTGACCTAATTTAAGTTTGGGGGAAAGGAATTGTTAGTAATGGAGACTGAGAATCCCATTGCTAGCAATATACCCAACCAGGTCGACCTCTTCGCGGTTCTCCCTGGAAACTATCATGGTTAATTCCTGATGAATTCATCATGATGGGCTAACTGGCCTGTTTTCATTCTCATCTATCAACCTTCACTGGTGCTCCGCCAGCGTATCCCGTTAGCACAGGTAGGATTACCATACCATTTTCACCCATAAAAAAACCTAATTTAAGTAAATTAGGTTAGGTTAGGACTTCTTAAGAGTTTTGATTGATACAACCGGTCAAAACCACTTTTGACGGAATCACTTAGTCAAAAGTACTTTTAACCAGCTCCATTGGACTGTATTATTGACTAAAGCATATGGTCAAAAGTACTTTTGACTGATTTTACTAGCCAATAGTACTTTTGACTGGTTAAGAGTTTTGACTGCAACATTTATATTATTTTTAACCGACTTCAAAAAGAAGGAGCTTCTCAGTTCGGTTGTATTTTTTTCATGTTTGTTACCTCATTACTCGCTCTATTATAATAATTATATCACCTTGATTTATTTCACCAATAAAAAAAAATTCATGCAAAGAAGGGTTAAACCTAAACAACTGGTTTTCTCACAATTGAAGTTATTGTTTTTTAGGGATACAATCTTTATTTATAGGCTATTAATTTGAACAGTTTATTTTAGAATAATTTAATATACATAATATATCATATGTATTCTAATTTCATTTATAAACGAAATATTTAAATCTAATAATGTAAAAAAAAAATAATATTTTATGTTTTCAATGAACTTCAAAAATTATGAAGTTTTCAAATCGGTGGTTTTTTTTTAATATTCGTTACCTCATAACTTGGTCAATTGTAAACCGATTTGGAAAATACATACTGAAAAGATATACTTACAGATTGGTAGAAATCTTATCAAAATCGATTCAGTACTTTAGTTTGTAAATTAAAATAACTTGTTTTGTGCCACAATTGAAGTAAGTTTTTTTTTCGAAAACAGTCTTAATTATTTTTATCTACAGTAAAAAACCAATCTTTATTGAACGTAGCAATTTTTATTGAAAATATTGTCAAATAAATAAATAAATTAAAGTAGATAAATAAGAGGCCTATATATTGATCTCTGCAGTGCTGTCACATCAGTACTTATTTAATACCAGAGGGAGACTTTGTACAAATGTCGTTTGCTTGGGCACCTGTGTCCCATTCGTGTTTCAACCGTGAAGTAGTTGTGTTTGCATGGCTGTGTTTTGGTTTGAAGGGTGGGATATGGCGTGAATTTACAGGGTACAGAGGAATAACACCTGAGTCCTTTGTGTGTGACTTTCCATCAGGTGGGCCGTCAGCTTGCTTGTCATTCTAAGTTGTATAAAAAACTGCCAACTACGAGATAAATCGTAGATTGCGTTCTTTCCTAGGACGCCAACTATGAGTTATCTCGTCCTGTGTTTACTTGCCATTTTTGTGCAGCTGCTATTTTTTAAATATATCAGTGCTAATACCGATAGACAGCTTTTAGGAAAAGAACAAAAAATCAATGCTGGCTTGTATAAAATGAAAATTTATAAAATAACGAACCAAGAATTATAAAAATTAATTTAAATTCAAGAAATAAAATAATATTTTAGTATTTTTTTTTATGCTTTTTGATTTGGTAACTACGTACTAGAGTTAGATGAATTAGAGTTTTTAATAATATAATGTGATTAAATCAAATCATACTAGGCCAGATTTCTAAAAATTGCCATGGCAGTCGACTTGGTAAAATATTTGATTCCGATTGGATATTTTTGAAATCACTCCAATTAAAAAAAATATCAGGACAGAATTAGCGGACTTCACTTAAACAATGCAAAACAGTTTTTAGCTCCAACATTGTCATCAGTGTAAATATATCCTTAGAACTTGTTTTTGTTGATAAAAGTTATATTTTATAAGAAATAAAAATATATTTACTACCTTTTTATCTATTTCACAATAATTTGTTATGTATATAATACAGTATATATATACAAATGGTTCAAGTTCAACCTTAACTGTGATCGGCATACCACAGTGCTAAATAATATGGAAGGTTGCGAAATTTCTGGCAGTAATAGTGTTGGTCAAGCTTCGAGTGCTGGCAGTCACACACTGGTAGCGGAATTGGACAAAATAATCAAATAATCTATATAGACACATCAAAAAAGTCTTAGTAACACATACAAATTTCAATTTTACAATCTTTTTTTCTTTACAACACAGGGGGCAAACGAGCATGCGGCTCACCTGATGGCAAGTGATTACCGCCGCCCATGATCACCCACAACACCAGCGGCATTGCAGGTGTGCTGCCGGCCTTTTAAAAAGGAATATACTCTTTTCTTTAAGGTTATGTTGTCTTCTTCTTCGCATTAAATCCTTAGTATTTTCTCATTTATATTATTTTTTAATGCTTTTTTGATATTAAACAACAATTGTTTTATTTTTTATTTATTTATTAATAATCTTAATTAACAATAATTACGAGTAAGTACTGTATATACGTAGTACAAAGTAAGGTACCTAATCAACTAAACTTAAACTAAAATAGTTGTACAAAAATTGCATAAATTAACACAAAGTGTGGCCGAAACATTATCAATAATTTTACTCACACGTTTTTATTTCTTTGGATTTTGTATTTGGCGTGCTATGTTAGTGTAGATAATCTATATTTGGGGAGACTTGGCCAAAATAATTATGATCAGATAGACTGTATTTTTTTAATGGAGGACTTAAATCTTCAGATGTGGCGTGTATGCATGAGATGAGTTTTGAATGTGCAGTAAGCAAGAGATATATGTAAGGATCTCTATCCTTATGTACATGTTCTGTCTTTGGCACGTATTTCTCTTTACAGACAGACAGATAGAATGATAAACAAGTTGACGACTTCGCTGATAAAAAGTGGTAACCGTCGCCCACAGACATGAATCATGATTATCATAGAATATAATAGTTCACCACAGGGAGGCTTTGTACAAAAGTCGTTTGCTTGGGTACCTCTGTCCCATTCATGTTTCTACCGTGAAGCAGTTGTATTTGCATGGCTGTGTTTCGGTTTTGAAGGGTGGGATATGGGAGTGAGTTTATAGGATACAGAGGAATAACACCTCAACTCTCAGGAATAGCAGCGCATGGGGGGTATCATGGGCGAAACAGTATAATCTGTTATGTCTATGATACTGCTCATGTCTATAGGCGACGGTTATCACTTTCCATCAGGTGGGTCAACAACATAACGAAACCTGGAGTAGATTTAAAAAAAATGACGATTTAAAAGTGCTTGTAAACAAGTCTATTTGAACAAAGTTAATTTTAATTTGAATTTGTTCCGTTCTATACGTATTTCGTAAACACGTGTGATCCAACTATGTACTTTAGCTGTATGACCTAGTTAAATAAATTGGATTAAGTAATCTGATATTTAAACAGAATTCACGGTTGTGTTGTAATAAACGTAGCTTATTAGGGTTCCGTAGAGAAGCGTACCAAGGAATAATAGTTGATATATATGTTAAACAACATATTTTCAATTTACAGTCTTTGGAGGGAATAAAAAAAAATAATAGAACTCCCAAGAGTAGTGACCATAGATAATTATTGAAGGTGCATGTATTTAGAACTGGCTCTTTGCGAAACTCTGATTCTATAAAAAAAAAAATATTGATTGTAAAATCTCTTTTTTTCTTTTTTTGCTTGCTTTCATAAATCCAGTTAACTTTTTCAACATAAATTCAATGTAGCTATTTTAAATCGTAATTTACTAAGTTTGGGATGCATATGTACTTTAATTAATTTCTGTGACTAAAATAAAAAGACATACTAATTAAGATGAACATTATCCTTGTAAATACATTGTTTACTAGCGACCCGCCCTGGCTTTGCATGGGTGCACATTACATCACATCACATCAGAAACCTCTAAAATTATCAGTGTTTCTCTACAATATTATGCATGTATTATACATATAAACCTTCCTCTTGAATTACTCTATCTATTAAAAAAAAAACCGCTTTAAAATCCATTGCGTAGTTTTAAAGATTTTACATATTACATACATAGGGACAGACAGACAGCGACAGCGACTTTGTTTTATACTATGTACTGATTAATACATTAGATTTAAATAGCCACTAGATGTCGCGTTATTGTTATTTATTTAAACTTTAATGCATTGTAAAATTCAATGTACATTTATCTAACTACTCTACTTTTATTACACTATAAACTTATTATTACTTTTTATTTTAATGTTTTTTTTTTTTGTAGATTTTCTTACGTACGGAACTTCCAGCGCGCAATCGATTCTGCCCTCCACTTAACTGGGTTTTTTATCATTAGATAAGCGTGTTTCCACGGTTAATTAAGATATTATTAATACATTTGTAAGATAACAGTTTGACCATGTGGACAATCATAATAATCGTCTAGACTTTGGAATATTTGGAAAGTTTTTGTGATATAAATTACATAAAAAATTTTATGATATTTTTTTTTTAATACTTAGAATGACATACAGGCTGACTGATTAACCGTCGGAAAGTAAAAAAATACTAGAGGGAGACTTTGTACAAAAGTCGCTTGCTTGGGTACCTCTGTCCCATTCGTGTTTCTGCCGTGAAGCAGTTGTGTTTGCATGGCTGTGTTACGGTTTGAAAGGTGGGATATGGCGTGAATTTACAGGGTACAGAGGAATAACACGTGAGTCCTCAGGAATGGCAACGCATGGGGGGTATCATGGGCGAAATAGTATACTCTGTTATGTCCATGGTATTGCTCATGTCTATAGACGACGGTTGCCACTTTCCATCAGGTGGGCCGTCAGCTTGTTTGCCATTCTAAGTTGTATAAAAAAAACTGAAATCTATAAATGATGCTTAGAATACACTGTGGCGCTTAATGTGTCGATGTTCTTAGGGGGGTAATTAATGAAAACTTCCCACTGTGTATCTAGTAATTTCATTGCCATGTCTCACTTTCATATCAAATTATGGACATAAAAGTACAGCATGTCGGCGGCAGACACATCATAAAGTTACTGTGTTTTCATGGCTATGTCTCCCTTTTATAATAAATATTCTAAATATATTAATAGTTGTAGCACTTCAGCTGCCTGCTAACGATATGCTTTCTAACTGCATTGGGTTGACTGGAAGAGATCTCTGTCAGAGATTAGTCCACTCTTGCTCACAACATTTATTAATGTATTATATTACATGTAATTTACTAGTGAAATAAAGAATATATGTATTTATTTATTTAACTCTTTATTGCACCATAAATAAAAATATACAATGACAAGTGAATAATTCAAGTGAAATACAGTAACATAAATACAGATTGAAATATACACATAAAGGTACAAAAGGCGGTCTTATCGCTAGGGCAATCTCTTACATACATACATAAATACATAAAATATAATAAATTTAATGTAAATTTTTAATGTATTAGGTGTATATTTTTATTTAATAAATCTTAGATAAAAACGAATTTATTAACAATTGGAACAGGCCAGTGACAAATTTTCAAATAAAAAAAATTACGTCAATGTAGTGGTGTATGAGTATAATTAATTAATTAGCAATATATATATATAATATCAGAATATTTAGTTTTTTGTTATCTGAACGTAGTTTCGTTATCTAGTTATACCACCGTCGACATTAAATTATACGTCCTAATAATTTTAAATTATATGAACACTAAGCATATCAATAGTAAACTTAAAAAAAAAAATTATAATTGCCTATCTCGTGACGTGTTTCCTTCATTCTATAACAATGTGAAAAAGTATTTATTGAGTCGGCATAGGACGATCAACCGTAGATTTTTTTATACAACTTAGAATGGCAAACAAGCTGACGGCCCACCTGATGGAAAGTGGTAACCGTCGCCTATACACATGGGCAGTACCATGGACATAACAGAGTATACTGTTTCGCCCATGATACCCTCTATGCGTTGCCATTCCTGAGGACTCAGGTGTTATTCCTTTGTACCCAGTAAATTCACGCCATATCCCATCCTTCAAACCGAAACACAGCCATGTAAATACAACTACTTCACGGTTAAAACACGAATGGGACAGAGGTACCCAAGCAATCGACTTTTGTTGGTTGATCGTATTCGTAGACCATATTGTTTCTGTGTTCACTCAATATATATATATATATATATATATACACATTACTCGCCTCGCACTGAATTATTTCGAGGGTATAATTTGCAGTCATATTTTTTATTAATTTTCCAAACTTTTTCTTATATCAATTTCATGTCAGAACTCCGAATTTTGAGGGGGTGAATTACGCTCTATTGCATTTGATTTATGGTTGAAAGTTCAAGCGCAAAGTGAGTGCCGATGCGATATCTATTGCAGTTTATTTCAATGAGCATGACTTTGTCCTGCAATAAATTACACTCATAGTCAAACATTCTCAAAGCATTGTTGGATTTCATAAAAGCACCAGAGCAACAAAGCGAGACTTCTTGGAAGTTCAAATTTTCGAAAGAAAGTCGAGAAATATTTTTTTAATGGAAAACCTCAGCTTCCAGGAACAGTTTTTTATGCTATTATTACCATTATAAACATTCAATAAGACCTCATTTTTGAAGATATATTTGTCGTCATATATGGAGATATCGAACAATTGTTACTATTTGTTGAAATACAATGTGGACATGATATATCTTTTATCTATCTTTATATATAAAATTTTATATTTACCATGCCATCTCACTTATTAGGTATCTATTTATATTCTTATTTCGTATTTTTCAATTTGTGTATTGTATTTCTTTTTTATGATATCCTGGTTATGAAAAGGAGTGAGGACACATTATATTCTTCACTCTGCTTAAATTCTTCATCACTACAACATATTTCTCGTCCACTACTGTCAACCTCATATTTCTCCGTCAAGTTCGATTCTGTGCTATTTGCATTCATCGACTGGTCTGCAGTGCTTTTGAAGTTTTTTTTTTTTTTGATGGGTGAAAATGGTAACCCCGCCTGCGCTAACGGGATACGCTGGCGGAGCACCAGTGAAGGTCCATCGATGAGAATGAAAACAGGCCAGTTAGTCCATCATGATTAATTCATCAGGAATTAATCATGATAGTTTCCAGGGAGAACCGCGAGGAGGTCGACCTGGTTGGGTATATTGCTAGCAATGGGATTCTCAGTCTCCATTACTAACAATCCTTTCCCCCCCGTGCTTTTGATGTTGTCACTTCTTATACGTGGGTATGCCATACTGCTCTGCGTAGAATTTAGACTTTGTTGACACTAATATTATGAAGAGGAAAAATTGTTTCTTTGTTTCTAATGGATAAACTCGAAAACTATTCAACCAATTTAAAAAAAAAATTCTCATCTATAAGAACTACAT